ACTGATTGAACTAAAACCATATAAGTATAAATCCTTACAAAGAGCTAATCTAATCCATATATTCATCTGAATTCATATCTTCATCTGAATAAATGACTTCATCATTTAATACATCGATACAGTGATGATCAATAACCTCCTGGTAATTTGTTAATCGATCTTCAAGAACCATCTTCAGATCAAGATAACCAGGTCGATAATAAAAATCACATTGAAAAATTGTAAGGTCCAAGTTATTAGGAAGCGGCGCGTGAGGATATAGTGCAGTAGATCCCAAGCCCATACAAGACAAGAGTTAGGGTAAGCCTGAGCATTCAAATAACCAAGAATCTCCATAGCAGTTGAAGGTAAAAGGATCCCAACATCACAGTAATCCCCAGGTTAGTAGCAAGATCTAGAAGAACATAAACACTAACAGCACCCTCACTAATCTCAGGAAAGTATTGAAGGATCTCTACATAAAGTAAAATATGATCATAGTTACCACGATTTTGAACGAAAAGCAGCAGATCTGCAGAGAAACCAATATCCATGATAATATAAAATATATATGCCCATCATTTACCCTATTATCCCAAGAGTTTTAATAAACCCTACCCAATTTCATATGGATGATATTAGGAGATATAGGGATACCACTAATCAGAGGCGTTAGCAGAATGGTGATGTATCTCTTCTTAATACCCTCCGATCAACCGAAGGTTGATGGGGGAGAGGGACTAGAATTAAAGGAAACTTAAGGTAAACTGTAAGAATCGCTTACTCACTGAGGAGTGTTCTAGTCCTTACTTATATTTTATTTTGTGCCCTATAAAATTAGATGACTACATGAAAACTACAACATAAAAATTTATCCTTCCTTTATTAAATTTATAATAACCCCCGGCCGGGGTAGCCTAGCTGGTTTTTCTAAAAGAAAAACCAGGTTGGCAAATTGGTTGCCCCCCCCCCTTTAGGGGGGGGGGCTAACCGGCGGACTTGGTCGCCCTCCGGTCGTTTTTCCCCCCTCCGCTCCTGGGTAAGCTTACCCAGGAGCCGATGGGGAGACAAACCCCCGGGGGATTTTTAATAAATTAGCCTAGCTGAGCTTTTTCAAAGCTCAGCTTGGTGAACACAGCAAAGCTGTGTTAGCCTAGCGCCTTCCGGCCGGGGACCGATCAAAAAAGCGTTGTTGAAGTTAGATTCCAGTTTTTTTTACAAAAAAACAGCCCCTACGGGACCACGGGACGCAGGGGGGGGGACCGAAGGTAGTCGAATGGCTGATGAAGCTAAATGATCCTCTGGTAGTACCCGCGGAAGGGGGGAAAGCCCATCACACAGTGTGATTATGGGAGTCCCACAAGGAGTAAGCACATCAGCGTTGTACGGGATGGCAGTTCTAGAATGGTTAGAAGTATACAGGATCCCCGGGGTAGTATACATCGGGTTTGCGGAGGACGGAGTGGTGGGAAATTCGGAAGGAGAGTTAATGGAAAAACTGAACTCAGTGTTGCGCCCAACAGAGTCAGGGGTTTCATGGCCGCCCGCGAAATGCGCAGTGATTAAGGAGAACGGTAAATGACTAGGTACCCTTCCCCCTCGCGGGGAGGGCAATGAAATTAGTGGCCCTGTGGGGCAGGTCAAAGACCAGGGGTTGTGAAACAAGTCGGGCACCCCCCCCCTTCGGGGAGGGGGGTGCCCGACCAAAATACCTACCCGAGAGCGATTCACTAGTGGCAGCGACCCGTTCAGGGAACACTGCAGAATTTAAAATGGGGGGATCCCACGGTTCGACGGTAAAGGGTAACCTCAATAAATTCATTCAAGAAAGGAATTTGGGCCGGCTTCAGTTTAGCGCGATTTAGCTTCCAGATTCCACATCACTTAGAAGAATACTTCGACGATTACGCCATCAACTGGATCCGAAAATTCTAGATCAAGAGGAAGTACCGCCTCTGGATTGGTATATACTGGAGACCTCGTCTCTAAAAACGTTAATGGGAAAGGTATTCTGCACCCATAGCCTACAAGCTGACTTGAGGCCTCTTTAGTTGTAATTAAAAAAATTAGAAAAGCTGAGATTAATGACCCATTGATTTAAAATCAACGACGTGGTGTTTAAGCCCCGGGGGTTTGTCTCCCCATCGGCTCCTGGGTAAGCTTACCCAGGAGCGGAGGGGGGAAAAACGACCGGAGGGCGACCAAGTCCGCCGGTTAGCTCCCCCCCCTAAATGGGGGGGGAGCAACACACCAGTTTTCATATCCATGAATTCACATAGATACTTAACACCTGTGATTAATTTAACTGAGAAAGACACCCACAAAAATTGCTGTGCCTGTTCAATCATGAAATTTAGTAGGAGTGTTTAATAAGTTTGGTAATCGGTTTTGCATTGTGATATTGTAAGATCTCTGATAGAGGCTGTAAGGATAAAATCAAGGTTATAGCTTGATTTTTTTTTTTGGCCAAGCCACGGCGCTAGCACAGTGCCCCGCTCTGCGGGGCACGGTGCATGCGACCGTGGCTTGGCGCACAAAGTGCGCCAAGCCACGGCGCTAGCACAGTGACTTGTTAGTCTATAGACTTACAAGGCACGGTGCATGCGACCGTGGCGCCCGGCGCCACGGCGCTAGCACAGTGCCCCGCTCTGCGGGGCACGGTGCATGCGACCGTGGCTTGGCGCACAAAGTGCGCCAAGCCACGGCGCTAGGAGTGGGTGGTTTACCCCGTCGAAATATGAGAATTCTTTTCCTTACTTATAGTTATAGCTATTAAGAGTCCATGAGGAGTCGTAACTATTAGGAATAAACAATCTTGAGTATATCTTAACAGTAACAGTGGTTATAAGTAAAGAGGTAGACAGAACCAAGATCGGGTAACACGTTGCTATAGCTTAATTCGGTTTTAATAAAAGTAAAGAGGTAAGGACTCTTTGAGTTATATGGTATCTTTCTCGCAAGTTATAATTATACCCTTATCATTTGGATTGAATTATATGCAAATGCATAATAAGTAAAGAAAGATTCAAAATCAATCTTCGATATATAAGTAAAGAAATAGTAAAACTGATTTTTGGTTACTGGGACCCTAAAAGAGGCTAAAGAGACTCTTCAGGGTCAATCGGGCGTTTATTGCATGCTTTGTCAAGAAACAGGTACAATGTATATCGGGAGCTCGTGTGATATGGGCGAACGATTGGTAAGCCATATTTTTAATTATTCCTCAAATATTCACCTCCAGCGAGCAATTGCTCTTTATGGTCTCCCGGTTTTTATTTTTATTGTTGTAGAATTTTGTAGCCCATCTGATCTAGTAGCCCGAGAACAACATTGATTAGATTGATTATTTCTTCTTCCCCCATCCCTTCGATTAAATTTCAACCCCATTGCATATATGCCTCCGTCTTGGCTAGGGAAAAAACGAGAGGCACAAAGTGGGTCTAATCATCCTAATTATGGTCTGTTAGCCTTCAATGCAGTAGGAGTATCTGTCTTAAACCTTGAAGGGGCTCTAGTAGCAACTTTTCCTTCACGAGCGGCAGCCGCCAAATGGTTGGGAATTTATCATGGGCCCCTCGGTAAGCCTGGCTATTAAACGCGGTTCTATTGTTAAATTTCAATATCGGATTGTTTCTAACAAATAGTTCAATTAATTGTATTCTGTCCTGGTTTGGGCAGCCCACCTCCACCCCCCCCCCAAGCGGCCGTAGCTTAACCTTTTTGCAGGTTTAAAAGAAACAGGATATTTCTTAATTTTTTTTTGTTTATGATTTTTCTTTAAAAGAAACAAGATATTTTTTAATTTTCTTGTTTATGATTTTTCTTTAAAAGAAACAGAATATTTTTTAATTTTCTTGTTTAAATGTTGTTAAGTAGTAATGGTTTTAATGTCAATTTTAATCATGATTTTAGTGATCACCTTACCATCCCTTCGGATTACCGCTATTTATTTTAATCGGATTGCCTATCGTAACTTACTCTACACTGGGGTATTATTAAGCTTTTTAGTCTTATTAGTAGGTTCGGGTGTAGGGGGTTATGTAGGTTTATTCCAAGTAACTATCATTACTCAGAGTATGAATGTATTTATTTGTTTAGTTGGAGCCTTAGTGCTTCTATTGGGTGAAACTTCGACTCTAATCGGTAATGGTAAAGGATTGCCAGTATTAGCTGAATATTCTCTTATTGTATTATTTACAGTATTAGGTATGAGTAGTTTAATTTCAAGTAGTGATCTAGTTTCTATGTTCCTATCTATTGAACTACAAAGCTTTGCTGTGTATATTTATAATGAAGCTATCTCGGTAGCCGAGTTTGTTTATAATTTCATTTTTTCTAATTTTACTATGTCTTGCGAGGGCGCTGAGGATCTGCCGAGAATTATGGAATTCAAAGATCTGCACCTTACTGGATCTTTTAAAGAGGCTAAAGAGGCCCTTCAGGACCAACCGGGCGTTTACTGCATGCTTTGTCAAGAGACAGGTACTATGTATGTTGGGAGCTCATGCGATATGGGAACTCGATTGACGGACCATGTTTTTAATTATTCAAGCAACGTACACCTTCAAAGAGCGATTGCTCTTTATGGTCTCTCGGTTTTTACATTTATTGTTGTGGAGTTTTGTAAGCCATCAGTTATTATTGAGAGAGAACAATATTGATTAAATTGGTTATTTCTTCTTCCACCATCCTTTCGTTATAATTTCAATCCCGTTGCATATATGCCTCCCTCTTGGCTAGGGAAAAAACGAGAGTCACAAAGTGGGTCTAATCATCCTAATTATGGTCAAGTAGCTTATAATGTAGTTGGTGTTTCAGTATTTACTTTAGACGGTAAATTAGTTAAATCATTTGAATCTCAACAAGCAGCTGCCAATTTTCTGGGGCTTCACCACTCAACAGTGAATAAGGCTATTAAACGAGGTCATACTCTAAAAGCTCTTTATAAAGTAGTCGCTTCTAAATAATTTAGTTTATCAATCTTTAGCTCAGGACAATCCCCCCTCCACCCCCCCCCCCTAGCGGCTGTTGCTTAAAGGTAAAGCGAATAACTGTTAATTATTAAATAGAGGTTCGATTCCTCTCGGCTGCTTACCCATTAGGGACTGCCCTATTCTTTCATAACTGTTAATTATAAAATAGAGGTTCGATTCCTCTTGGCTGCTTATCCATCAGGGAGTGCCCAATTCCTTATGGTAGTTAGGTAGAGGTAGTCTTGAGCCTGTAAAGCGAATGACTGTTAATTATTTAATAGAGGTTCGATTCCTCTTAGCGACTGGCTAAGGCGCGTCTAAACAATATCAGCCTGTAGATTAATATATATTACATATATGTGTAAAACCCAGCGCATTGGTGCTTACCCCGGGTGTGGAGTAGCTTTACAGAATAGAATACAAGAGTGAGCTTCTTCCAGCTCAAGCAAAGAGGTCCAAATATCGAAAAAATATATATATATATTTTTTTAATAAATATTATAAATAATATTTATCGATGTTATATATTTTGATCCCCGGCCCGGCCGGGCTAGCCTAGCTGGTTTTTCTAAAAGAAAAACCAGGTTGGCAAATTGGTTGCCCCCCCCCCTTTAGGGGGGGGGGCTAACCGGCGGACTTGGTCGCCCTCCGGTCGTTTTTCCCCCCTCCGCTCCTGGG